GCCCCACTCCTGGGGGTCAGCCAGCCCCACCTCAGAGGGCTCCAGGGTCCCGGGAGAGCTGCAGTTCCCTCTGGCAGCCACTAGGTGTCAGTGGTGGGCTGCACAGACACAGCTGGGGATCCAGAGCGGGGAGCGCCTGGTTTGCGCCACGGGGGGCAGGGCAGAGACGGGCCCCGGCCCAGCACTGGCAGACCGGGCCGCCATCCACTGGACCCCACTCCCCTCTGGTGAGCAGCCCTGACGGCTGTGTGAGCCCTCCTGGGCAGGGGGGGCCTCGTGCCCCTACACCTGGCAGCCACCTCGCCATGCTCGTGGGACCAGGCGCCGTCGCAACGTGCCAGGGAGTGGGGGGGGCGGGGGAGGGCAGGGAGCTGCTGCCAAACCGAGGACGGTCTCAGCTCCTCCCGCTTCCCTCCCCACCCCCATGGCAAGGCGTGCCCGGCTGCAGAGACGGGGCCTCGTGGCACCGAAACCTGACCAGGGCTGCCCAGGCGTGGGAGTTAGGGGGACACAAGGGAGGTAACCCCTGGGAACCTCGCGCAGCAGCTACCCCGTCTCTGTACCTGCGTCGGCAGACACCCCCGCCCTGTCCGTCCGTCCGTCCACCCTCCCTAGTCATCCATCTGTCCATCCCCTCAGCTCCTCCCTACCCATCCGTCCCTCCCTCCATCTGTCCACCCTCCCTATTCATCTCTCCATCCATCCATTCACCCCCTCTCTATCCATCCATCTGTCCAACCTCCCTATCCATCCATCCATCTGTCCATGCGTTCACCCCTCTCTATCCATCCATCTGTCCATCCATGCATTCACCCCTCCCTATCCTTCCATTCGTCCCTATCCATCCGTCCATCCATCCACCCGTCCATCCGTTCACCCCCTCTCTATCCATCTGTTCAACCTCCCTATCCATCCATCCATCTGTCCATGCGTTCACCCCTCTCTATCCATCCATCTGTCCATCCATGCATTCACCCCTCCCTATCCTTCCATTCGTCCCTATCCATCCATCCATCCATCCATCCATCCATCCATCCATCCATCCATCCATCCATCCATCCATCCATCCATCCATCCATCCATCCATCCATCCATCCATCCACCTGTCCATCCGTTCACCCCTCCCTATCCTTTCATTCGTCCCTATCCATCCATCCATCCATCCATCCATCCATCCACCCGTCCATCCGTTCACCCCCTCTCTATCTATCCATCTGTCCAACCTCCCTATCCATCCATCCATCTGTCCATGCGTTCACCCCTCCCTATCCTTCCATTCGTCCCTATCCATCCATCCATCCATCCATCCATCTGTCCATGCGTTCACCCCTCTCTATCCATCCATCTGTCCATCCATGCATTCACCCCTCCCTATCCTTCCATTCGTCCCTATCCATCCATCCATCCATCCATCCATCTGTCCATGCGTTCACCCCTCCCTATCCATCCATCTGTCCGTCCATGCATTCACCCCTCCATATCCTTCCATTCGTCCCTATCCATCCATCCATCCATCCATCCATCCATCCATCCATCCATCCATCCATCCATCCATCCATCCATCCATCCATCCATCCATCCATCCATCCATCCATCCATCCATCCATCCATCCATCCATCCATCCATCCATCCATCCATCCATCCATCCATCCATCCATCCATCCATCCATCCATCCATCCATCCATCCATCCATCCATCCATCCATCCATCCATCCATCCATCCATCTGTCCATGCGTTCACCCCTCCCTATCCATCCATCTGTCCGTCCATGCATTCACCCCTCCATATCCTTCCATTCGTCCCTATCCATCCATCCATCCATCCATCCATCCATCCATCCATCCATCCATCCATCCATCCATCCATCCATCCATCCATCCATCCATCCATCCATCCATCCATCCATCCATCCATCCATCCATCCATCCATCCATCCATCCATCCATCCATCCATCCATCCATCCATCCATCCATCCATCCATCAATCCACCTGTCCATCCGTTCACCCCCTCCCTATCCATCCATCTGTCCATCCATCCATTCGTCCATGCATTCACCCCTCCCTATCCTTCCATCTGTCCGTCCATCCATCTGTTCATGCGTTCACCCCTCCCTATCCTTCCATCCGTCCTTATCCATCCATCCGTCCTTATCCATCCACCCCCTCCCTATCCATCCATCTGTCCATCCGTTCACGGTTCACCCCCTCCCTATCCATCCATCTGTCCATCCATGAATCCATCCCCTCTCTATCCTCAGACACTCTGTTTCTCCATCTGCAGACACCCCCTCCCTACCTATCCATCCTTCCACCCCCTACCTATTAGGGATGTAATAGTGTAGCCAGTTAAAGATATCGGCTACACGCATGCGCACACACACGCACACGCACGCACACACACACGCACACACGCACACACGCACACACGCACACACACGCACCCCCACCCCCCCCTCTGCAGCTTTGCTTGTCCTGCCACTCCTCCATCATGAGAGAGGGGCTGCGGGCCAGACCTGAATGGGGTTGTGGTGCTATGCCGTGGTGGCCCGTCCATAGAGGTGAACTAGGCGGTCGCCTAGTTCACCAAGTTAAATGGGGCGCCAAATGGTGGCGCAATATCATTGAAGGGTTTGGAGGTGGGGCGCCGATTGCAGGGTTCGCCTAGGGCGCCAGTTGCTGGCAGCTAGTCTAGGGCCGCCCCTGCGGGGGGCTACCCCCACTGCAGCTCTGCAATAACCCTCCTAGCACAGAGCCGCAGCAGGGGTAGTTGCCAGACCTGGCGCTCGCAGTGCTAACCCATATCGGTCCCTCCATTCACCCCTCCCTACCCATCCCTACTCCTCCATCCTTCCATCCATTCCCACCTCCTCCATCCCATTCATCCGTACCTCTTCCACCCTTCTTATCCATCCACCCCCTCCCTACCCATCCCATCCCTACCTCCTCCACCCTTCCCCATTCATCCTTCCATCACCCCCTCCCTATCCATCCCTCCATCCCCAAACACCCCTTCCCTATACCTCCATCTGCAGACACTCCTCTCTTTCTGTCCATCCATCCCCAGACACCCTCTCCCCCTCTCTTCTCTCCATCCCCAGACACCCTCTCCCCCTCTCTTCTCTCCCTCCCCAGACACCCTCTCCCCCTCTCTTCTCTCCCTCCCCAGACACCCTCTCCCCCTCTCTTCTCTCCCTCCCCAGACACCCTCTCCCCCTCTCTTCTCTCCCTCCCCAGACACCCTCTCCCCCTCTCTTCTCTCCCTCCCCAGACACCCTCTCCCCCTCTCTTCTCTCCCTCCCCAGACACCCTCTCCCCCTCTCTTCTCTCCATCCCCAGACACCCTCTCCCCCTCTCTTCTCTCCCTCCCCAGACACCCTCTCCCCCTCTCTTCTCTCCCTCCCCAGACACCCTCTCCCCCTCTCTTCTCTCCCTCCCCAGACACCCTCTCCCCCTCTCTTCTCTCCCTCCCCAGACACCCTCTCCCCCTCTCTTCTCTCCCTCCCCAGACACCCTCTCCCCCTCTCTTCTCTCCCTCCCCAGACACCCTCTCCCCCTCTCTTCTCTCCATCCCCAGACACCCTCTCCCCCTCTCTTCTCTCCCTCCCCAGACACCCTCTCCCCCTCTCTTCTCTCCCTCCCCAGACACCCTCTCCCCCTCTCTTCTCTCCCTCCCCAGACACCCTCTCCCCCTCTCTTCTCTCCCTCCCCAGACACCCTCTCCCCCTCTCTTCTCTCCCTCCCCAGACACCCTCTCCCCCTCTCTTCTCTCCCTCCCCAGACACCCTCTCCCCCTCTCTTCTCTCCATCCCCAGACACCCTCTCCCCCTCTCTTCTCTCCCTCCCCAGACACCCTCTCCCCCTCTCTTCTCTCCCTCCCCAGACACCCTCTCCCCCTCTCTTCTCTCCCTCCCCAGACACCCTCTCCCCCTCTCTTCTCTCCCTCCCCAGACACCCTCTCCCCCTCTCTTCTCTCCCTCCCCAGACACCCTCTCCCCCTCTCTTCTCTCCCTCCCCAGACACCCTCTCCCCCTCTCTTCTCTCCATCCCCAGACACCCTCTCCCCCTCTCTTCTCTCCCTCCCCAGACACCCTCTCCCCCTCTCTTCTCTCCCTCCCCAGACACCCTCTCCCCCTCTCTTCTCTCCCTCCCCAGACACCCTCTCCCCCTCTCTTCTCTCCCTCCCCAGACACCCTCTCCCCCTCTCTTCTCTCCCTCCCCAGACACCCTCTCCCCCTCTCTTCTCTCCCTCCCCAGACACCCTCTCCCCCTCTCTTCTCTCCATCCCCAGACACCCTCTCCCCCTCTCTTCTCTCCCTCCCCAGACACCCTCTCCCCCTCTCTTCTCTCCCTCCCCAGACACCCTCTCCCCCTCTCTTCTCTCCCTCCCCAGACACCCTCTCCCCCTCTCTTCTCTCCCTCCCCAGACACCCTCTCCCCCTCTCTTCTCTCCCTCCCCAGACACCCTCTCCCCCTCTCTTCTCTCCCTCCCCAGACACCCTCTCCCCCTCTCTTCTGGGAGAAGAACCAGGAAGCCTCGTGTCCATTTCACCGCTCTAACCACTAGTCCCATTCCCAGCCAGAGCTAGGAAGTGAACTCATCGCTCTAGCCACTAGACAGCACTCCCTGCTCTGGTGGGTGAAAGAATCCAGAAGCCCTAGGCCACAGCCCTCCTGATCTAACCACTAGAACCCACTGCCCTCCCCAGGGCGGCAGGTTTGCAGAAGTTCTGGGGGTGCCTAGAATGCCCAGAGCCCCTCCCGTACTCAACCCCCCCCACCTTCCTAAGGCTCTGGGGGGGACTTTGGGTGGGGAGGGGTGCCTGCTTGAAGGAGGGAGTTTGGGTGTTGAGTGTCGCAGGGATAGACCTGGCCTCAAACTTTGGTGCAGCTGGGTCCTGAGCCAGGAATATCCCTGGTGCCCGGGCACCACGGGCCAATATAACTCACCACCTATGCCCCTCCTTGAGCTGGGGAGAGAACCCAAGTGTCCTGGCTCCTAGGCCCCAGCCACTCTAACCACTAGACCTCACTCCTCTCCCACAACAACCCAGGTGTCCTCCTGTAACCCCTCGCTGGAAAAATCACCCCCCAACTTTCTGATGATGCAACTGCTGGGGAGAATCTTTGTGGATGGGGCCCGGCGCTGGGCCGGCGAGCACTAACCCTGCAGGGACTGGTTTCTGAATGCATCTGGAATCACCCCTGCACCTCCGCCCCCCACCTCCGAACGGCCTGTGACCCCCCCAAGAAACGCCCCCCGAGTTCATCAGGATGAACATTCGGCTTCCGCGTGCTCTTGAAACCCGCGCCCTGCTCTGCCAGGCAAACGAACCGAACTGATTAGAGAGGGAGGGGGTGGGGCCGGCGTTTGCTTCCAGCCTCGTGTCCTGGGCACAGGCAAAGTCTGGGCGGCTGGGCCCCGTACCGTGCTGGCGATGGCTCCCTCCTGCTGCAGCCCGTCCCGGAACCAGACGATGGTGGCGGCGGGCTTGGCGCTGCGAGCCCGGCACGTCAGGTTGTACGGCGTGCCCGCCCGCAGCAGGATCTCGGGGGCACCGTCGATCACCGGGTCCTCGGGGGGAACTAGCGGCAGAGGAGAGAGAGAGGCCGGTGAGTGCCGGGTTGGCTCAGGTCCAGGCAGGAGGCTTTGCTGGCAGACTCCGCGCCCTCTGCTGCCCACAATACACCCAGGACATCGCGGCCGGTGAGAGCGGGTGGAGGGGGACCAGACTCCCTGGTCCCGCTAGTCCCCCTCCCCTGCATCAGGGGAGGGGGAAGAGCTGGGGTGGGGGCGGAGCAAGGGTAGGGTGGGGGGCGGAGTGGGAGTGGGGAGAGGCGGGGCTTAGGGCGGAGATGGATTGTCCCGGCCTTTCCCCGTGCTGTGGTTCTGGTCACATGGCTGGTGCCCCCACGCCCCATGTCACTCCCTCACCAGTCGCCCCGGTAAGGAATGTGAGAAATTCAGGGGCTAACATGCGGGGAACGCATAGGTCAGCATGAGGGAAACTGAGGCACCAGTGTGCTGTGGCAGAGCAGTGAGGCACTGGGAGCAGACCACACCATTCATATGGATCTGAGCTAAGCCACGGTCCACCCATTCCAGCATCTCCCCCTCCTGCTGCCCCAATTCAGACCATTGGTCCATCCAGATCCCCAGCGTGCCCATAAGGCAGATGTCTGGCTGAGCAGATAATGCCAGGAAGGGATTCATCCCTGACACCACCTACTCTGGTGACCAGCTCAGAGCCCTCACCCTTTTATTGTAACCCGAAAACCTGCACCAATCACCAACGGGCCTCCATCGATCCAGCCACATTCAAGAAAACTCCGTCCTGAGTCTTGGACCCCAGGAAATGAACCATTTTTGAGACTTAAAACAGTTTTCCAGGCTCAAAGTGGGATCCAAGTTGAAATCTTAAAATTGTGAATTGAAAATCCAGGAAAAAAAACATTCATTGATTTGGATCAACCATGACACCTTATGTGGATAATTCTGAAATGTTTCATTTCAGTGTGTGCATGTGTGTGCGTGTGTGCATGTGTGTTCATTTCTCTTTGAGTATGTGTGTGTGTTCATTTCAGTGTGTGTGCGTGTATGTGTGTTCATTTCTCTGTGTGTATGTGTATTAATTTCAGTGTGTGTGCGTGTGTGTGTATGTTCACTTCAGTGTGTGTATGTGTGTTGTGTTCGTTGGTTGTGTGTGTGTGTTCATTTCAGTGTGTGTGCGTGTATGTGTGTTCATTTCTCTGTGTGTATGTGTATTCATTTCAGTGTGTGTGCGTGTGTGTGCATGTTCATTTCAGTGTGTGTGTATGTGTGTGTGTTCATTTCAGTGTGTGCGCGCGTGTGTATGTGTATTCATTTCAGTGTGTGTATGTATATGTGTTTATTTCTCTGTGTGTGTGTGTGTGTGTATGTGTTCATTTCTGTGTGTGTGTGTGTTTGTGAGAGTGTGTGTAGAAACCAAAACTCTTTCTTTTAAAAATGTTGACGATTTCAGGACATTTGTTGCAACCAAACCTCCCTTGCCAATCGTTTCAGCCTTGACAAAGTCGGCAAAAAATCGTTTTGCCTCAAAATTCCTGATCAGCAGCGTTCCACGAAATCGGCCGTCTCCGACAGACCCCGGAGACCGAAGGGAAAGCCCAGCCAGAGATGCTATCTAAAGGCAGCTCCATGCGCTATTCTGTTAGATGAACTACACAGAGAGAGATCTGTGTCTAACGAGGGCTTTATGTAATATGCTTACGAGCTTTGTCTTGGACTTGCAGATCTTTCTGCAGGGAAAAGGGCTTTACAAAAAGCTCTACCAAGTTGCGCTGCAGCGCGAGCGGAGATTTTTGGTGGCTCTTTTAACCAGCGCACCGTTTAATGAATCCAGGCTGTGTCACTGAAAAATTGATGATGCTCTAATAAAGGGAAACTGATTAGCAGCACTCAAAAAAAAAAAAAAAAAAAAGACATAGGCCTTCTTCCCGGCTCTTTGTAAGTGATGTCGGGATTTGACAGCTGATTGTCAAGCAGGACGCCAAGCTGGGGAAGTTGCTTTTCTGTGCATGAATCCCCTTTGTGATTGATATCGAAAGCCCCATTACTGATTTATTAGGGTTTGATTTAAAAATAAAAATAAAAGAAGAGCGTGTTTGGAGCGAAGAACAAAACCCGAAGAGAAAGAAACTGGGACAGCGCGGAAAGATCTCTGCTCCCAACCTCCCCGCGAAGCGTGAAGCCGGCTGGGCGTGAGTTGCTATATGCCCTGCCCTTGAGGCTGGGACAGTGCATGGCTTTCTTCTCTTTTCGCCGGCAGGTGCAGTCCCCAGAGGGCGCTGTAAAAGGTGGAGCAGGGCGGCTAGAGCTGGGGGTTGGCGTAAAGTCTGTGCTTTGCAGGTAGCATGGGATTTTTCCGCCACGATGGATGCCGCGGACAGGCACCATCGGTTTCAGCTCGCCCCCTGGGGGGTTTCTCTGCAGTTAGGCAAACGCCAAATGGGTGTCTAGAGGTGGCAGCAGCGTATGGAGAGGAAGGGTAGAACCGAGCAGAGACGGATGCTGTCGCTGGTCCAGTCAGGAGATCAGCTTCCTCAGTTTCTTTTGCTGCTCCTTGCACATATCCAGGGCATCCCTGCCCTCAGCTGCTTCATCTTCCTACCCCAATCTGAGCCTTCAGGGGTTTTATGTCAGGCTTCTTCTACCTCCTTACGGTTGGCAGCATGGGCGGTGGGTAATGTAGGCAAGGGAATGCCCAGCCAATGAGGAGGGCTGGGGCCATGGCGCCGGGAAGGTTCAGGCTTGAGGGCTGGAGTTGGGCGGGGCTTTTTGTTGAAGGGGTGCGGTCTCAAGGAAGGGTGTGGCTTTGGGCAAAGGGGGCGGGGCTTGGACTTGGCTTCCCCAGCTGGGCCTTCACCCACTGCCCATGGTTGGCAGAGAGGGGATTTTCTGCCCTAGGAGCAGGCAGCTCAGAGGTGCTGTTGCTGAAGGCAAGTGACCCCTGCCCTTATCTACAGAACCCCCGGGTATTCAGGGCCCCCCAGCGTCCAACCCCTGGGGTTTTGGAGCACCTGGCTAACAAGGCCACAGGGCCATGGGGCGGGCAGGACCGCTAAGGCTGCTGGACACCAGCAGAGCCTCCAGTTTCCTCTGGCTCTTTAGCTCCTGCAGGGTCCAGTGTTTCCCTGAGCCATCTACCGAAAGCCTCGCCTGGATGGAGTCATGGGAAGGGGGAGCTGGCAGAGCCGATCCCCGGTGCATGGAGTTAGGAAAGCAAACTCCAGACTTCTTTCCAACATGCGGGATCCAACCTGCCATCGCCCGTCCTTCAGATCCCCCCCAAAACATCTCTCAGGCCCCCCGATCCTCTAAGGTGCCATCATAAGAACCTTTCAAACTACTCCTGGGCACTGCCCCCCCCCCCGAACAAGTGACCGGGTGGGAACTGCCCCCCCAGAACACGAGCGACTGGAAGGGAATCCGCCCCTGCAGCTGCCCACTCAGTACTCCAGTAGCATCGCCCTGGCTAGTTCCTTCCCTTTTATCTCCCAGCTTGAGAATACGAATTTCAATGCAAGAGAAGAAGGGGGGGAGAAAAAATCAGCCCCAAATTCCATTCATGCAACATTTCGGTTGCGGCTTTTTACAAGGCACCAAAGTCAGGGAAATCAAAGTTACAGCACCCGCAGCTGCCGTAACTCAGCCACGGCACGCATATAGATTAAGGCATTAAAGAGAGCTGCACATCCAGGGCCCGCGAGGGCTGGGGGAGGCGGCGGGGGAGCGGCGCCGAGTTGTTTGTGTTTCATTTTCGAGCGAGCTGGTTCCAAAGGCTCGTTACAGAGCTCAGGGTGGCTGGCAGCCCAGCGCCGCCTGGCAGGGGCTGTGTGCCATGGGTCTGGGGCAGGCGGGAAAACAGGCTCTTCTCCCATAGTTAGGGTGCAGGGAGCGCCTGCCAGGTCTGCTGAGTGGGTGTCCCCAGAGGGAAAGGGAGTAAGGTTAGATAGTACCTAACCCTACTGATCCTCTCTGGGTCAGTGCTGACCTCAGTGCCTCAGCACGGCACTAGGGGGCGCTGTGCTGCAGGGATAGGGGGCTCCATAGGGGGCGCTCTAGAGCACCACTGACCGCAATGCCGCATCACGGCACTAGGGGGCGCTGTGCTGCAGGGATAGGGGGCTCCATAGGGGGCGCTCTAGAGCACCACTGTCCGCAATGCTGCATCACAGCACTAGGGGGCGCTGTGCAGCCAGGATAGGGGGCTCCATAGGGGGCGCTCTAGAGCACCACTGTCCGCAATGCTGCATCACGGCACTAGGGGGCGCTGTGCAGCAGGGATGGGGGGCTCCATAGGGGGCGCTCTACAGCACCATTGACCACAATGCTGCATCACGGCACTAGGGGGCGCTGTGCAGCAGGGATGGGGGGCTCCATAGGGGGCGCTCTAGAGCACCACTGACCGCAATGCCGCATCATGGCACTAGGGGGCGCTGTGCAGCAGGGATAGGGGGGCTCCACAGGGGGCGCTCTACAGCACCACTGACCGCAATGCTGCATCACGGCCCTAGGGGGCGCTGTGCAGCTGGGATAGGGGGCTCCATAGGGGGCGCTCTAGAGCACCACTGACCGCAATGCCGCATCATGGCACTAGGGGGCGCTGTGCAGCAGGGATAGGGGGGCTCCACAGGGGGCGCTCTACAGCACCACTGACCGCAATGCTGCATCACGGCCCTAGGGGGCGCTGTGCAGCTGGGATAGGGGGCTCCATAGGGGGCGCTCTAGAGCACCACTGACCGCAATGCCGCATCACGGCACTAGGGGGCGCTATGCAGCAGGGAGCAGGGTTCATTGGGGGACACCAGCACGAGCACAAGAGCACCCCATGCTGAGTCACTGCCGGTCACCCATTGCAGAACCAGCCCAGAGTCACCGGTGAGTAACTTTGCACCCAATCCCTCAAGAGACAGAGCCGAGTCCAAAGCTGGGTGCAGCCCTGTTGGGGGGAGAGGAAAGGGGGCTGGAGGGAGGCCTGCGGCACTTGGCCCGCCGGGAGCGCAGCGCCGCTTCCGTGGCCTGGCATTCGTACGAGGCGTCATCCGAGAGCTCGGCGTCGGTGATCTCCAGGTTGTATTGCCCGGATTCCGCTGTGCCGATGATCCGGTAGCGCGGCCAGGCTGCAGGGAGAGATGGGACAGACAGTGAGGTGATGGGATGCTGCGGGGAGGGGCGCACCCCTCAGTGCACCCCACACACAGTATGTGGAGACGAAAGGGACGTGGCATGGGGTTGGAGGCACGAGAGACAAGGGAAGGGGCGATCCTCTGGCACCCCAAGCCCCTTTACAGAGGGGAACTATGATGTCACCAGACATCGCTGCAGCCACCTCTGGGGTGGAGCGAGGCAGCCGTTTAACGGCTTCTCAGCAACACTGCCCAGGGATTGCTCCCCCAGTGCTGAAATGCAGTCATCTCTGGGGTGGAGCGTGGCAGCTGTTTCCCAGCCACACAGTGCTGCTCCGTTCACCAAGGCGTGAAATGCAACCTCATCTGGGGTGGGGCATGGCAGCTGCTTCCCAGCAATACACAACAATACAGCGCAGCAAGGGAGGAACTGAAACACGACAGGAGCCAGCGCATCCTTGTCAGAGTTGGAACGGGGCCAGGAAATGTGGCAGACGAGGGTCTGTGGGGTGTGTTACGCTGTGGGCAGCCAGTGCTGAGATCTCAAGTGAGCAAGAGTGCTTAAGACTGCCCTGACCCATCCCATCTGAAAGACACAGGAAGATAGAATGCTTCAGAAGAAGGGAGGCAATGTGGCTTAGTGGTTAATGCTCAGGCTGGGGACTTGGGAAGATCTGTGTCCTACTTCTGCCATTGATCTGCTGGGGTACTCCGGGCAAGTCACTTCCCTGCTCTGTGCCTCAGTTTCCCTCTCTGCACAGTGGGGATAAAGGCACCGAGCTCCTTCGTAAAGCACTTTGAGATCTACCGATTAATAAGAGGGAGGGGCTATTATGAATTCTGGAATAACGAGGACAGGTTAATTCTCTAATAGCAGGCAGTTTATGGAGAGTTTGTCCTACTATCTGTATAAACCCTGAATCCTGCTAACCAGGGGAGGGTAGTAATTTTTGATGGGGGGGGGGGCCACACCACGAATTTGGTAAGTGGTCAAGGGCCGGACTCTTCCTTGATGTTATTGGAGGTGCGGGGTCTGGGAGGGAGGTTGGGTGCAGGAGGGAGCTTGGGGTAAGGGACTGGGGTGCAGGAGGGGGTGGTGGGGTCTGGGAGGGAGGTTGGGTGCAGGAGGGGGTGAAGGGTGTGGGAGGGAGTTGTAACTTGGCGCAGGGGCACAGGAGAGGGTGCAAGGGTTTGAGTTGTGATCTAGGGCAGGGAATTGGGGTTCAGGGTCTGAGGGGTGCAGGGTCCGGAAGGGGAAGCAAGGTCTGGGAGGGGTATGGGTACAGGAGAAGATTATGACCTCGAGGACGGGTGTAGGGGGGGTGCAGGATCTGGGAAGGGCTTGTGACCCGGGGTAGGAGGGACTGCAGGGATTTAGGTTGTGACCTGGGGCAGGGGATTGGGGGGCAGGGTCTCAGAGGGGCATGGAGGAGGGGGTGCAGAGAGTTTAGGTTCTGTGGGACGGGTGCAGGAGGGGAAGCAGAGAGTTGGGGGGAGGGAGGGGCTGGGGTGTCAGAGGCATTAGGTGACTCCCAGCCAGCAGCCCAGCAGGTCCCTCAGGCAGGCCCTGCGCACCGTGCAAAACGGCCAGCTGCGGGAGCCATGTGCTGGGGAGGAGGGTATTACTTGAGGCTCCCGCTGGACCTTAGGCTGGATTTGGGGACCTGGCCGGTCAAATCCAGCCCACGGGCCGTCTTTTGCCTGCCCCTGTGCTAACCTCTAGGAGCTCATGCTATCTTGTGGCAGGGAGTTCCACAGGCCAACCTGCCCACCTCCCTCTGCTGCTGCCCCCTCCAACAGACAGCCTGGGGGGGCTCCTCTCCAGCCCCCTGGCCCTGGGCTCCCCTCTCTTTGCTCCTCGTTTGTGAAGCTCCCCGCCCGGAGCAGTCACCCCCCCAACCGCCCCCTCCTCCCCCGTGTCAGAAGCGCCCGCCCCCCTCCGTCGCATCCAGCAGGGGGCGCCGTTGTCCCAGCTAACGGCACGTGCGGCAGAAAGCCCGAGCGAAGCGACGGATGCGCAGCGCAGGAACGGAAACTGGGATGCCGGAGGGGAAAGGAGTGGGCTGCCGGGAAGCCTGACCACCAGCTGATTGGCCGATGCGGGAATGGCAGGGGCTGGCAACCGAATCCGCCTGGGCGGCCCTCAGTGTTCCTTGGACAGCGGCAGGGGCCGGTTAACGCCGAGGACTCTCCAAGTCCCTTTATTCCATTGAAATTAACACCAGGAAGCCGGCACTCAAGTCCCCCAGCACAGCCTGCACGTCCTCCCTGATGGACCACTTGTGCCTTGTGACTACGCCCCGGTGGTGCAGGGTGACAGGGAAGCAACGGCTCCGGGACCCATAAACCCAGCCCCGGCCGGCGCGTCGGTACCTTTCAGTCCCTGCCCCATGCCCAGCGCCAGGCCATCTTTGGTCCATTGCACGATCCCGGAGTAGTTCAGCACCACGCAGGACAGGACCAGCCTTTGCCCGGCCACCACCGTCTGGTCCTCCGGCTCCTCGCTGAACCGGGTCTGGACAACTGGGAAGGGAGAGAGGAGGAGCGTTAGCGCAGCCCCGAACCCCGGCCCCGCTTCTCTCAGCAGCGACGGGAGGAGGGGGGCCCCCTGCGGAGCCCCACACACTGCTGCTCCCTGCAGCCTAGCGCCCCCTAGCACTGCACTGGGGCTGGCACTGATGGGAAGGGGAGAGCGCCCTCTATGGGCCCCCCATCCTGCTCCCTGCAGCCCAGCAGCAGCCCCGAACCCCGGACCCGCTTCTCTCAGCAGCGACGGGAGGAGGGGGGGGCCCCCTGCGGAGCCCCACACACTGCTGCTCCCTGCAGCCTAGCGCCCCCTAGCACTGCACTGGGGCTGGCACTGATGGGAAGGGGAGAGCGCCCCCTATGGGCCCCCCATCCCGCTCCCTGCAGCCCAGCACCATCTTGGGCCATGCTGGGGTCAGCGCCGACTGGGAGGGGAAGCACCCCCTTTCCGAGCCCCACTCCCTGCAGCACGGCGCCCCCTAGTGCTGCCCTGGAGCAATGAGGTCAGCCCCGGGAGAGGCGTGCGTGGGACTCTGGGTGCAGCACTGGGGAAACCTGGCCCTGTGTGTGTGTGGTTTGTGCACAGCCCATGTGAGGCTCTGCCTGGGCTGAGGGTTATGGGGTGTGCATGCTGTGGGACTGACGCTGTTATATGGTGTACGACTGTTGCCCCACAATGTAGGCTGTGTCCAGCACGGCTCAGCGGGGACTTTGTGGAAAAGGCGTCGGGCAGCATGTGTGAATGCGTGTCAAGATTGTGTGTTCTGCCACAGGCATTAGGCACCAGTGAGGGGGAGTATGTGGTGTGTAATGTGTGTTTTGTATACAATGTGCATGAATGCGAGTCTGCCATGTGCAGCCATGTGCATTACAAGTGCCTGTGTTGTGTGTTGTTCTGTGTGCAGCCTGCAAGGGAGCCAGTGTGCATGTGTGTATTTAGCTGCGCGTTCTCCTAGGTGCAGTATGTCTTTGGATGTGTTCTGTTGTGTACAGCCTGTGTGTGTATCTGGTTGTGTGTTCTCCTAAATATTGTGTATCTATGGGTGTATTCTGTTGTATATAGCCTGTGTGTGTATCTAGCTGGGTGTTATGCATGTACATTGTAAGTAGCCTGTGTATAACAGTGTAGCTACGTTGTGTTACACCTCAGTGTATGTTTATATTGTGTAGTGCGCCTGTATGTGTGTGTGTTTCCAGGCTGTGTGTAAAGAGGGTGGCTAGGAGTGGGCACGAGGGTAGCAGGCTGTGTGTGGTGGACAGCCTGTGTGTGTGTGCATGTGGGTTGCTATGCTATGCATGTGTGTGAGTGTGTGGTTTGCTCAGCCTCTGCCTGGGGCTAGCATTTTCCATCTACCCCCCAGCCCCTTCCATCTCCTCTCTGGCTGGGCCCAGCTGGCTCAGTCCACAACCACTGGGTGGAGCCCCAAACACAGCCAGGACACGGGGTTCCCTGACCTCCTGACGTCCCCCTGCCCCGCCAGGGAGATCAATAGCCTCGTCTTTCCACAACAGCAGCTGGTCACATGGCAGTGAATTCACAGAGAGCCTGGGGGTTTACAGAGCATCAATAGCGGGACAGGGAGGCTGGGGGGAGGAAAGGGGAGGAGATGTTCTTTTGAGAGGGATCAACAAACGTGGACAAAGGGGATCCAGTGGCTAGAGTGTACTTAGATTTCCAGAAAGCCTTTGACAAGGTCCCTCCCCAAAGGCTCTTAAGTAAAGTAAATTGTCATGGGATAAGAGGGAAGGTCCTTTCATGGACTGATAAATCATTAAAAGACAGGAAACAAAGGGTAAGAATAAATGGTCAGTTTTCTGCCTGGAGAGAGGTAACTAGCGGGGTTCCCCAAGAGTCTGTACTGGGACCAATTCTATTCAACTTATTTATAAATGACCAAGAGAAAAGGGTAAACAGTGAGGTGGCAACATTTGCAGAGGTTACCAAACTACTCAAGACACTTTAGACCAAAGTAGACTCTGAAGAGCTTCACAAAGATCTCACCAAACTAAGTGATTGGGCAACAAAATGGCAAATGAAATTAAACGTTGATCAATGTAAAGTTATGCACATTAGAAACAATAATCCCAACTACACATACAATATGATGGAGACGAATTTAGCTACTCGAGAGAGATCTTGGGGTCGCTGTGGATAATTCCCTGAAAACATCCACTCAGTGTGCAGCGGCAGTCAAAAAAGCAAACAGAATGTTAGGAGTCATTTAAAAAGGGATAGTGAATAAGACAGAGAATCTTTTATTGCCTCCGTATAAATCCATGTCACACCCACATCTTGAATACTGCGTACAGACATGATAGCCTCATTTCCAAAAAGATCTCTTGGCATTGGAAAAGGTTCAGAAAAGGGCAACAAAAATGATGAGGGGTTTGGAACGGGTCCCATATGAAGAGAGATTAAAAAGACTTGGACTTTTCAGTTTAGAAAAGAGGAGACTAAGGGGGGATATGATAGAGGTGTATAAAATCATGACTGGTGTGGAAAAAGTGAATAAGGGAAAGTTATTTACTTGATTCCATAAAGTAAGAACTAGGGGTCACTAAATGAAATTAATAGGTAGCAGTTTTAGAACAAACAAAAGGACGTTTTTCTTTATGCAGTGTACAACCTGTGGAACTCCTTGCCAGAGGATGTGGTGAAGGCTAGGACTTTAACAGGGTTCAGAAAACAGCTAGATAGATTCATGGAGGTTAGGTCCATCAATGGCTATTAGCCAGGAGAGGTAGGAATGGTGTCCCTAGCCTGTTTGTCTGGAGAGGAATCACATGCTGATTATCTGTTGTGTTCCCTCCCTCTGGGGCATCTGGCTTGGGCCACTGTTGGCAGACAGGACACTGGGCTAGATGGACCTTTGGTCTGACCCAGTGTGGCCGTTCTTATGTTCTCTTTTCTAAACAAAACAAACCCAATTCTTTTAGTCTTCCCCCCCAGGTCATGTCTAGACCTTGAATTATTTGTGTTGCTCTTCTCTGCACCCTCTCCAATTTCTCCACGTCTTTCTTGAAATGTGGTGCCCAGAGCTGCACACAAGACTCCAGCAGAGGCCTACCCAGCGCAGAGCAGAGCGGGAGAATGACTTCTCCTGTCTTGCTCACCACACTCCTGTGAATGGAGCATGGAAAGGACCAACGAAGGCTGGTTTCGACCACTCAGCAGGGCTGTAGAAGGAGGTGACTCTGACTGGGTAAGCAATGCAAAGGGAAGCTGGCAAAATGGGGCTATCAAAGCAGCCTAGGGGATCTGGAGCCACGACTCCTGTTCACTTAATATGGAAACGGGTAACTCTGTCCTCTGGACGGCTTTGCAAACTGCAGGCTGGGTGCAGACAGGGATTGTGGCATCCAACGTTGTCAGGTGGCTGTGGTTAAACTCGTCTGGGACTAAGGGTGTGTTTGCGCTGCAATCGGGGACTGGCACCTGTGTGGATGTACTTGTGCGCCACTGATTGCTAAGCCTGGTTAGCTCCCATGACCCTTTGAGGGTGTTCTCTGATTTCCTAATAAAGGTGAGCCCTGAGTGCCCTGTGTTCCCTCCTAGTGGCTGGGATAACAACAGAGGATAACAACCTACTACTGCAGAGGATAACAACCTACTACTGCAAGCAGCCACGCAGCTGGGGCTTGGGCTATGAGGCACAAAAGGATCATGGTCCCAACCTGTCCCATGGTGGGGGCTTGTTAGCGGGGCAAAGCTGGGTTGAGAAAGGAAGGGGAGGCAATACCTGACAGCAAATGAAATCTGCTTCTCATCCCAGAGTCCTTGGGCAAGTCAGGGCTTGGCTCTGAGCCTGTTTCCCCCACCTGCCCTTTTTGTCTTCTCCATTTCCGTGGCCAGATCTTTGAGGGGGGCCTGCCTCTCCCTGCAGGTACACCCGGCTCCTAGCACAATGGGGTCCTGGCCATGGCCTTTCAGGGGTTTCCGTACGGCTCGTAACCACATCGTGAGCCCAGGGGAGTGGAGACTCTGCGGCCCTTCCTTGAGGAAAGTCCTGGGCAGAAAGCGTGGCCTAGTGGCTGGAGCCCAGAGAATGCTGGGTGACTGCTTCCCCTCCCGGGCCTCAGTTTCCCCACCTGGACAATAGTACTGGCCTCCTTCATAAAGTGCCGTCAGCTCTTTGGATGATAAGAATTAGGGCTTGGTGCTGGGGCGAGCACCTCCCAACTGTCTCCCCCGCCCTGCACAGGTCTCCTTGCCAGCAAGCGTGGCCTAGTGGCTGGAGCCCAGAGAATGCTGGGTGACTGCTTCCCCTCCCGGGCCTCAGTTTCCCCACCTGGACAATAGTACTGGCCTCCTTCATAAAGTGCCGTCAGCTCTTTGGATGATAAGAATTAGGGCTTGGTGCTGGGGCGAGCACCTCCCAACTGTCTCCCCCGCCCTGCACAGGTCTCCTTGCCAGCCGTGGGGCTCAGCAGGGGAGCCCGAACGGCAGGCCAGG